AACAGAATTTTTTCTATGGATCGTGCTTGTCGCTTATAATTAAAAATCGCACCAATTTCTTCAAAATATTCTACATCATAATAATATATGTAAGATAATTATATGGATTATATAGTGTCAAAGAAAAATTCAAAGTGACTACTATAGTTTGTATAGACCCATGTTTTTCAAAGTGTATATATTAAGTTCACAAAGTGAAATTAAGTACTTTATTTCACTTTATTTATTAATGAAAAGTACTTTATTTCACTTTATTTATTACTGAAATAAAGTACTTTAATGAACATGCCAAATTAGTTTATGTAGTTCAGTAAATGTTTTTCAAAGTATTTACAAAAGATATACATACACATATATATTATATAAAAATAATTAAAAATATATATATAATAGATAGATACAATTTAAACGGCTTGGGAACTTGTCACCACATCACTGCATCCTTTGAGGATTATTGTGACACACCCACTTTAGTTTCATAGACGAGTAATAGTTAGGAACGCCATTATGCCCTTTGAGGAGATGCTGCCTAATTCCGTTATAAGTGGATAAGAAATTGGTAAGTACCGAAGTCTAAGCCTGGAGAGACTAACACAGTAGCACAGAATGTGTTCTGCTGTTTACTCTCCTTCGCAACAAAGTCTGCAACTACCGTCTCTTGTAATACCTCTATTCAATAGATGCATATTTACTCCGCAATGTCCAGTGATAAACCCTATGACAAATCGGAAGTCATATATCAGTCAACACTGTTGGAATTTGAAGGAAATTGTTTACTATAAGCTGCTTTAGCCTAGTGTAATAGAAAAGAGACCTGAAATAGCCAACAGAAAGGCAGTTGTGTTTTCATTCCAATCATTATGATAATTACGACATATGGAAATATGTTTCACATATTTTTAATAACTCAGAACAGATTAAGGGAATGTATTGGGAAATACTGATACATCCACTGTATAGCTTGCACTATCGAATTACCATTTGTTATTTTCTGCAAAATTATCACAATGGTAAAAAAAATTGACTAAATGAAGAGACGCCAAACATCACTTGGTCAAATTTTTCGGTTATAAATCATAGAAGTTCTCCACTGTTGAATTAATGAAATCAATGAAAAATGGCAAAAAATCATAAACTTTATTAAAATAAGTTTTAAGTGAAAAAACTTTTATGCAAAAACTTAATAATTAAATATTGTTTAAGTAAAACTGAATGCAATTATAAATTATTTTTAAGTATTAAATTTGAGTAGTAAATTTATTGGGAGCAATCATAATTATTGTCAATATTTCATTGTTATTAAACTTTTAATAACTGAAGTTGTAATACTTTAACTTTATTTAATTATTTAGTAACTTTTTGTTTGTGTTAGTTTTATTACTTCTAAGAGCTGTCAACTGCAATATATTGAGATATTTTATATGAATGGTATCAATGGTATCATGTGAAAAGTTTTAAAAGTTACTCAAACAAATATCTAAATTGAACAAATTTGAAGTTTAATCAAATTTGGGAAAAAGTAATTACTTTTAAGAATTAAAACTTTTGCTATACGAACTTTATTATGATTTAAAAAATATACAGCAATAAATCAATGGCAGAAAATTCTATGGTACATAAATAAAAACATAAAATTCATAATTAATGGTAAAAAATAATATTAATAATTAATACGTTAAAATTTAATTATTTGTTGACAATAAAAAATATATAAAAAATTTATAAAATATATAGAGAGTTTTCGAATAGCAAAGAAAGAAAGGACAAAAACAAAAATTAAGTTAATTTATTGAAATTTGGGTGACCATACAACGCTGTTTCGTGTATTGCCAAGTACTCATCATCAGTGGTCTTAGGAAATAATCGAACACTCATTTCTTAATTAGTTTATAGTCCGGATATACGGGCCACTGATGATGAGTACTTGGCAATACTCGAAGAATAGCGTAGCTTTTTCGGCAATACTAATAAAAAAAACTATAAAAAATATATATATATATAATAAAAAAATATTAAATGCATACAAAAAAAAAATAATAAACTAAAAATACATTTTTTAATAAATTTTAAAAGTTTCATGAATTTGCACAAAAAAACCACATCTACTAAAAAATTTTATTACCACAAAAATTCTATTTCTGCCAATAATTTGCCACAATTTTTATATGTGAATAATATGCGTCTTCCATTAGGGAAAAGGGTAATGAAAAGCGTTGAAATAATATACATTTTCGAAATATTTGTGGGGAGATATTATATTTTGGTTGCGAAAGAATTTCACAAAAATTTTCAATGAAAGGAAATTTCCCTTTCATTTATTAACTACAAATTGCAGAGGAAAATAGTTTCATAAATCAAATACTTTTGGGATACAATACAAATTTTAATGAACTAAGAAATCCTTTCAGCTAATATAAATGGAACATTTTTATAAAACTTTGCCTCAAGCATATATTTTTGTAACCTATATTAGGAAGGCACATAGGAGATTTCATGTTTATATTGTCACATGACTTTTATTTGTTGATACGCTCTGAAGCACAATGCTGGCGGGCTGAAAAATAAGCACAAATACTCGTAACTTAGCTTAGGAGCTAAAACAGCAGATAAATATATACCTACATATATATATATATGTTCAACTACATGAAGTTCTTTCCTCCTTATAGTAAAGGTATGAAAGGATGTTCACTTTCATATGGCAACCTTGAATATACGTCCTCAACGTTGAAGCTTATTCGTCCTTATATTTACTAGAAGTGATCAAAAAATCTTATACTTGAGTTTTTTTTGTGTAGAAATTTTCGTGATTATTTTATAAATTTTTGCTTGCTTTATAGAACTTTAGAAAATTTAAAACTTTTCTTTAAAAATTAAAATAGTTTACGCAGAAATTGTGGTTATCATTTTATGTATATTAAAAATTTGATTATAATTAAATTAGTGTTATAAGCACCAATATGAAATATAGGTTTCATTTTGAAGGAAACCAAAAATTAAGCTGAGAATATACAAGTAATTTTGAAACTAAATATACAAGTTATTTTTAAACAAAATAAATTAGAAGAGATATAGTATAAAAGCATAAAATTCTATATTACCTAGTGAATTCATATCTCCTCAAAAGTAATGAAAAGTAAATGGGTTAATTGAAACAGTTTTGAACTCAAAAGTTTAATAAGTAGATATGATAAACCAGCTTAAAGCACTTCGAAATGCAATCATTATCTAAAAAAGTGATGCTATCTGTTTTAATTTGAAGGAACTGTTTATTTAACCTTCTACAGTATAATACAATGGAACAATTGAAAGTGATAAATAGATAAATCGAATCAATTATTCAAACTGAATATAGCCAGAACCAAAAACAGAATTAATTGTAAACAGAAAACGAAAGAAGTGATCGAAGATAGTTCCACCAGGATAATGCGAGACCCTTAAAAGTTTGGGAACTAGCAAGTTTGGATAAGATATACGACTACACTCACTGGTTCTTCAGATCCAGCATATATGTATATATACATATATCAGTATATATACTGATTATCATTGAATCAAGTTTTTACAAATTTTTTTAAACAACAAAAATGTAGAGCATCAGAACAATATTTGGGTTCCAGTTTTGAAACACTACATCAGCTACAAAACTGATTTTTGATAATTAAGATTCTATGAGCGTTAAGTTTTGCTATTGGCAGAAAAATAGTACAAGCTATTGGACCTGACTGGGTAGTATGAAGTATGATATATTTAATCACGAAATCATCTTTCAATTTCAGAAAAAAGAACAAAAGTATTTTCCACATAAGTTTATAATTTAACTACCCACATAGAGTAGATATATAGAGTATAGTAGACTAGTTCTTATACTAAATATATCTAGAAATTAACACAAAAAATCAGGTGTGAAGTTCAAAAGCTTTTAAGAAATCACGTATTTTATGATGAAATCCTTACAATCGAATTATAAACTGTTCTAATCAAATCTTGATTGGATTAATAAAGATTGGAATAGTTCATTTTTCATTCTTTTAATCTAATTCCTAGCTATGAACCTGATTGAGTTGTTTGATGAGATATGGGTGTAGTAGATCCATGTCTGCATTCTTCAAAGCATTAAATGATAATAAAACATACCTTTCCCTACTTTGAATTAAAGAAATTACAAGTCTCTCGTATATGGTTATTAATAAGAAATAGGTCAAAATATCGTACAACGTCCCTAGCAAGCAGATTTTATATAAGATTCTTAGCCGATAAGTATATATATATTTTAAGTAAAATAAAATGATTTGATCTGAATAATGTCACTGCTGTGCTAAATATATATCCGTCCATATAACAATGTAAAGAATACAGTGATATCTGCTTATATGGACATCAACTATAATAGATATAGTTTGCAGACGAGAAGTATTCATTAATTAATTAATTAATAAAAAAAATATACTAAATTAATATAATTTTTACCTTCCCCAAATTTTCCATATTTCCTGTCAAAAAAAGGGACTATTTTATATTTGTTGAAATGCTGATTTCGAAAAATTCTTTCTTTTGAGAAGCAAGTAAGAGTGTCTGAAGAAAAATGTTTATCTAACTTAATGAAATCATAAGAGTTAGTATCTCTTAAAATAAACAATGTTTTACTAATCTTTTTTAACTTTTTTACTTAACCTCGTTATTGATAAAGAATCTACCCGTCGTTATCAACAGGAAAGACTGATATATTATCGAAGCAATCCTACACTTCAGTTGATAAAAATATTATTGTTATTTATTTTTTTGTTTTTGAAGTCCTTTTTTACTCATAACTCATATATAACAAATATCTGTCTTATGAACATATCATTAAAACTGATTACACATATCTGTTAAGTATATACGTATATATGATAAATAGACTTCTTTCTCATTAATAAGAGTAGAATTTATTTTTTGATATATACTCGTGACTTAAATCTCACAGTGTTAATAAAATAGATAAAAATAACACTTACCGTTTCTTTGTTATTTTTAGATTTTGATAAAACATCTTCTAACCAGATCCACTGTTTCTCAGTATCTTGATTTTCAAATTCTGATAATGCACTAACACGTCCACCATTGCTGCCATCAATGGTGCCTGGTATTGCACTAATACCACGATGATGTGCATTATAGCCATAACCCGTTGACCAATCGCCAGAATGACTGTGATGTTGGTGCAATGTGCCATGATGATAGTAGTAATTTTTATATTCGGGCGTCTCCGGACCACCCATCATTGTATTGGGCGGTGTACGTTGCCTGACAGCTGCCAAATGGCTTTGGGAATATTTTGGATCGTGTCTCATGAAATTTGTATTCAGTGCTATTATACGTAAACGACTCTTCGTCTGCTCAATCGAATAGTAACCACCTGCAAAGACGAAATACAAACAAAACAAAAAAAAAAGAAATATAAAAGAGATTATAAAATATATGAAAGAAAATACGCGTCAAAAGAAACTAAGAAAAATCAGTAAGAATAAATGTGTAAAGAATTTTATGGATTTTAATTTTACGAAACGGATACTTGTCCTTTGGGAAATATTTGTACATCCGTTTTCAATGGAAAGGCGAGTACCAGTTGAGATTTCATTATGAATTGATAAAGAAGCAGAACTCCATCTGCTAAAATCTCGTTTACTTTGGGTACATAAAACCTTACTTCTTCACAAAAAATATGCATTATTCTGCGCTGCATAAATGTGGTGAATGATGCATGTTCCAGTAAATAGAGTAGCAAAAAGTTAATAGAAATTCAAAAACTCTTTTCTTTACTATCGTTTTAAACTATTTTTCATATAGCCATGGTTACAATTATTATTGAATCAGTTTGATTTTGTAATTTAATAGAGAATAGCATGACAAAATCAATACAACTGAAATCAGATTTTTATGATGACAATAAAGTGTAGTATGTGAAAGTAAGTAGTGAATTATTAATGGGATTTGTGCAGTTTTGTTGCTAGGACATGACTACAGTACACTAGAGTAGAGTACAGTATCATTGTTGTACTTTACATTTTTCAACTGAATTAAATTTTGTCATAATACATTTTAAGCTTCAGTCGGAAATCAGTTGTATTTTACGTAAAACCACAAAAATATGTGCTCAAAAAAGGAAGACTACTGAATGAATCGATTTAGTAGTACTTAACTTACCCTTTTCGAATGTATGCAGCGCTTCAGTTGGCAGCCAGTGTCGCCAGAGTTCGCCCATATGTCGGAAATTTGTAGTTGTGCCATCCTCATGTCCCAAGACCGGAAACACAAATTGTGAGGAGAATGTACGACCCAGCAAGTCTGTGATATTGCGCATAATTTCCAGTTTCTTCGTTTCGAAAAGCGGATGTGATGAATGTGATAAACCATCACTGTACATGAAAAGAGGAAAGTTACAGAAATCAATTGCAGTTTCACTAAAGAATATTGAAATTTTTAATAAATTAATAAAATTAAAAACCGAAATTAATAAAAGCTGTTGAAAAAGCTTTCAATTAATTTTTATTTCGCCCGAAGGAACACACACTAACTAAGCAATTATGCTTGATTTGCTGCTACTCTGAAATCATGCCTGTAAGCTGTACTTAATAATATTATTAAATTCTTACTGAAAACATAATTTCTAAAGCCTCTTATGCAAATAAACTTTTCAATTATGTGGCATGGAAATTATGTTTCTGAAATGCTCAAAACATAAAGGCGGATTATTGCGTGTGTAATTAATGTATTCGTATGTCAAACATTTCAAAGTATGTGAGTGTCCTAGCAAATCCGCTTATGTACTACATAACAAATGTGCTCGGACAAACGGAAATGGATTATGTCAAACCCAAGCTCACAACTATGAATGCGCATTGATTTCACAGAAGTAGCGCAAAGGTTATATAAAGTTTAATTTGCATGTAAATCATGTAATTACAAAATGTTTATGTTTTATTTCAACCAGAAATATTTAAGCATTATTTCCATCTGCATTAATAGTGTGCAAAATTACTTTGAACTAATCAAAGTCTTTTATTTCTGGTGATGATTTCTGTTTTACATTCATCTTTCGATTCTGAAATGCATTTGCTCAAGCTTGGAATTGAAAACAAATTAAAAATTTTGCAATAACCTTTAGAAATGTAGCTACAAAAGATGATGATGCCCTCATCTATAAACTCATAGTAGTTTAATGGTTTTTTTAGAGATCTTAGAATAGACTAAGTCAAAATATATGCAAGGAATAGAGCCCTAAAGCTATTCGCAAAAACCGACAGACTTTTAACACTATCTAATTACAGAATAATCTCTAGGTACAGCGTGCACCGCCAGCTTGCTGAAGCTGGGTTTTGAACCTTTGTCTTACAAACGGAAGTTCACACAATCGAGATCTGCGAATGAATCAGTTTTATCAAAGATTAGAAAGGCGCTCTTAGTTACGTAGGTAGAGAAGCAACTATTAAAGCTTTGTTCTTATTAAAGTTCCATTTAAAAATTACTATGACAATATGCGAAAATTAATTAGAAAAAATAAATTGGTGTTTTGCTGAGTGTTTGGTCACACAAGAGTCAATAGCAATGAGTTTTGCGTGCAATTGATTCTTGTGTCTCGCGTAAGGAAAGTTTTACGTGAGCTTGTTCTCTTATTATATTCTGAAGACCTGTAGCTCTGTGCCTTCTTGTGAAATAAGTTGGTTAACAGAGTAGATTCTGATTTAAAAGTGGTTGTTTGTAATTGAAAGAAGTAGCTACTACCGCTATATTTTAGTTAACCATTGGACTAAACAGCTCGATTTCTTATTTTACTAAGAAAGATGTATTTTCTCAGTAAAATAGATTTGAGGTTGTTTGCAGGTTACCTGATAAATTACCAAGATTTGCATTTCCAACTTAAGAATATCGATCTATCGTAGAAGAGAGAATGATCTAGATCAGAGGCAGTGTATTGGGCTGTTGGTTAGATTCAAAATCTGCACACCTATTAAAAAAATTCGATTTTGAGGATTACTTATTGTTTCAAAGAGGTTAGGTTAGGTTAGGTTATACTGGCGATTACTAGTGGATCCACTTAGAACTAATGACACATTGTGTTACCGTATATGTGGGAGCAAACTTAGGGTTTAAAGCCACCTAGAATTTTTGGGAAAGCATAGAATACTAAAATACTATAGTGTCAGGTCCTGTAACTGGTCCAGATCCGCAAAAAAGGGGGTTCACCAAGTATTAAGCCGCCGACGTGCATGAGCTGGGCAAAAACACAGTAGAGGAGATGCACTTTCATCGTCTTCCCCACAGCCACAACAGATTTGATTGAAAGGAAGATCTAAACTTCTCGCATGGTTTCCTGCTTTAAGTAAGTAAGCCTACCGAAAGAATGATATGTCTCTACGGGGCATCTCAATGAGATTTTTTTGGAAAAAGGTAAAAAAATTAATTTAATTTAAGTTTAACAATTAAAAATGATTAAAATTAAAATTACGAAATGAAAATCATTTTTGGGTTTTTTTATAGCTAATTTAGTCAACTTTTGTTAGAGTTCTCACATACATATATTATTGTGATATTTATTTCTTGTTCATGTATAAACAAATATTTATTAATTTATATAGTAACATATAGTATACATAAGTGAAATAAATTTAATCCTCTAAATATATTTTATAATTCCTTTACCTTGCATTATTATATAGTACTAAAAGCTTTTCTATTTTATCGCTGCAGGCGTTCAATATAAAAGTCAAATTTGTATGTAACCATGAAGATAATTCTCATTTAGACAGCAAAATCGACTTTTTTAAAATTTAAGTTTAAATTAAAAGCTAATCCTTAAGTAACGAAACAATTGCATTGTCACTTGACAACACTTAAATCTGATAAATAACAAAACATTATCCCATTAGATTTCGATTACTTTAACTTAGCAAAATGTGGGCGCATTGGGGTTGGCGTATCTCAGCCGCAAGCGCAAATAAATATTTCAGAAATCAGTACAAAAGGTGAAAGTAGAATTTACGTATTTACGTATTTACGTATTTTGGGGTGTGATTGATTGACACTTAAAATACCTTAAGAAGAGCTAAAGTATTTTGTAATAAATCAGAGCATAAAGTACAATGCAAAACATGGTAAATACACTTCAATTAAATTGCTCGCAATGCACAGGACGTGATGACAAGCACTACAGAATGCAGAGCAAGTACCAAAGTTGGAAGACAATACATGCTGTACTGAATATACTACTCGTATCTAAGCTATTCGGTTAGAAATAATTGAAGTGAAATTATGAATTTAATTTTAACTACACATGCTGATTAGGGGATTATATTTAATGTGCATTTCTAAGTGTATTTAAGCATTAAAGTTTATTAAATGTACTCAGCTAGCCACTTTAGATGCAGGTTTTACTCCTTTTACAACACTCTTTACTTGTGTCATAGTGTTGTAAATATGCTTTTATGAATCATAAAAATCTTGTTATCTTAATCAGCAATATAACTGCTTTCTTTTCATAGCTTTTCAGCTTTTGATGCTTTCTCTTTGACGTGTTATTATGTAGCTTAACTTAAAACCCTAATAAAGCAGCAATAAACTGTGAAAGAAGTGAGTAACTGTTGGCATAAGGAAAGGGTTTCCTTACCAACTTGGCTACAAAATAAATTGAATTCTTTGTTTCAGGCAAATATTTTATATACCAGACAGCAAAAGGATGAGTATTTTATATATGTTTGCTAAAGAAAGGGAGCTAAGCTAAAGTAGGGAAAATACTTAAGTGAAAATACTTGAGCACTTTAAATTAGAAAAACATTGCATGTTAATTTTCAATTTTTCTGAAATTAAATTTCGAAGAATTTTAACTAATCAACGGGGTTAAATTTTTCATCTTTTTTTGTTTTTTTTTTTTGATTTTCATTTAAAAATGCAGCAGTGGAGAAAACAAGAGATAATTGGGTCTGCTCAAGCTACTTAACAAATTAAATTCTTTTAATGCAAATTTTTTCTCTAAGTGTATGAGAAGTACTACTGCATTCAGTATTCGAAATATGTCACATCGTAATTGGAATTAACAAATAAGGATAAAACAAAAAGTTTTTCGCATTCTACTCATTTTATTTTATTTTAAATCCATTAAGCTGATTACAAAAATGCTTATTTCCGCGCCAACAATTCACAATTCAAATGAGAGACGATATTTAAACCAAAAAGACTGAATAAAAAAATTAAATAAAATAAATAATAAAACAAACTTTTACTGATTTTATTTAATGTTATTAGCTAAACTTATGCCAACTCAAATTTATAAATGAACTACAGACAGACAAAAAAAAAACAAAAAATAAATAAATTTTTGTATATATAAAAAAAAAAATAAAAATATTTACTTCTAATTGTTGCAGTGATTTTTGTTGACTTAAACGCTCAGATAAACTTTTAAACCAATTACTTTTTCTGTTTGTGAGATACATTCAAAGCGTAAATATTTACATACAAATCGAGCTGTCATATACGAATACGCCTAATACTACACAACATACTCGTACACATATAAATCGTATTATTCAGAAATTGTAAACTACTTAAAGTAGTTGTCAGTGAACGAAAACATTTGCATTAACTTTCAATATCCTAAAGCAAAATGTAATGAATTGAAATAAATAAATACAAACGGAATAAATAGAGTAAATATCTTTAATTGCAAATAAATACCAATTAATCCTTTACAAATGGAAAATCTAATAAAACGAATAGGAAAATAAGTCAAAATTACTTTTTACATCGTAAACGGAAAATGCTTCAAATGCTTGCATGCAACATTTTCAGCATTTTCCGAGCCACAACGAATTTTACATTAGGCAGGCAACCAGGCAGGCTGGCAGGCGGCAGCCATACATAGGGCAGAGTTCAAGAGCCTTTGTTGAAATGAGTAATTTGATTTGTACTTTATAATGAGGTGTTAAGTTGAGGGGGGAAAGTGCCCGTACGTAGCATTTTAAAATCAATGATATAGCACCACTTCAAATAAGCGTGAAGTACTTAAATGAAGTTACTGTGGAAACTTGATGGAATACCATAATGATAGTCTATGATTAAAAACGGATTAAATAAAAAGCTGAATTTACTCAACATATAGAAATATTTAACATTTCAAAACAAATGGAATGAAACTTTGGTGTTTCATTATTAAAATAGTCATTACAATTTAAGTACTTTATGAAGATGCCATAATAATAATAATATAGTTATTATTATTATTTCTTTGGTGTATTTACAATGGATTTATTATAGTTATTACAATGTATTTATTATAATTATTACAATGTATTTATGTATTATACTTTGGGTAAAGACACCGCTCTTAGTAAGAGCATAGGGCGGATTCCGTTTCTTGGGTTTAGTTGCTTGAGTGTGTGATTGAATGACACAAATCTCGCTATGTAATCCGGCCGGGTAACATAACGACGCGGAATGAAGTTTCAGGTAACCCTGACTCACAGAAGTTGTCAGGGTGCCCTTGTAGGATTAACAAGGGCACTGCGAGAGGGTGAGAGTAGAAATTTGACAAGGAGAAGCTATGGATATAACATCTATGTTCCGCATCACTGCCCCATTAAGCCCCCATAATAATAATATTACTAAAATTGAATTAATTTTATTACAAAAAATTTATTTTATTTGTACCTTAAATAAATAAAGAAACAAAATAAAAAATGAATATTGAATAATTGTTGAGCAACACCACCAGCTCCGTTAGAATAGGAAAGAATCTCTCAGAATCGTTTGATATCAAACGAGGTTTCAGGCAGAGTGACTCTGTCGTGTGACTAGTTTAACCTAATGTTGGAAACGATAATTCGATTTATCAAATTTAAACCGCACTCGCACAATATTCTACAAAAGTGTAATGCTGCTTGCGTATGCCGGTGATATTGATATTATTGACCTGAACACCCGCGCCGTCAGTGCCACATTTTCCAACTTTGAAACACAAGCGAATCAAATGGGTGGTAAATCAGAACAAAACAAAGTCCTTTCCTGAGCGTCTTGGGACATATGACACTGTTGACAGTTATAAGTTCGAAGTAGTAAAAGACATTGTTTATTTGGGAAACAACTTAAACACCAAAACTGAAAAGAGATGTTACTTTGGGCTAAGCAAGCTATTGAGAAATAACAGCCTCTCTCCACAAATAAAAATCATGCACTACAAATCTGGTGCAGAAGCTTGGACAATTATCAACAGTGATGGGAAGGTATTAAAAGCAATCGAAAGAAAAATTCTTTGGAAGATCTATGGTCCCTTACACGTTGGCAACGAGTATCGAATTAGATGGAACGATGAGCTGTATGAGCTATACCACGACACTGATATTGTTAAGCGCATAAAAATTGAGCATCTTCACTGGCTTGGTCATATTGTGCGAATGAAAGAAGTGCTCGGGTAGAAAGATGTTTGATTCGGTATCTGCAGGTGGAAAATGCGGTGGCAATTTAGGTAGTTGCTTTTATTATTTTAATTATAAAAAATTAAATATATTAAGATGAAATTATTGAAATTTCCATATACAGCTTTTATAATAAGGATTATAAATTGACTGAGTCTTTCCTAATTATTTAGCATAAAAGTTGATTTCTTAATCCATGAAAAGAAAATAATCATATGAAAGAGGGAGTGTCACATTTTCAATATCAACTGAGATACTCTACTTCAAAGCAAAAATTATATTTTATTCAGTCAATAATCCTCAATAAGGCATTTACCATATATTTAAATTGCTTTTTCAGCTGATATGAAAAAAATGGTAACAAATTTTTTGTAATTAATACTGAGTTTCAAAGAAATAGTGTTTAGTCTAAAAACTCTCTCTGTCTTACTGCTGTTTTAAACAAAGATGATCTCGTGGGCAAGGGAGTATCATATTCTTGTTACTACTAAGATAATAGACTTAAAAAAAATATTTTGTCAAAAGCTCTCAAAGCGGCAATAATCATATATTCAAAAGTTGATTGTTTAGCAGCTTCATGACTGAATAATGGTATTGAAATGGGGAAAAAATTTGTCATTTCATGATAAAAAGCGAAAAAATAATAAGAAAAGATTTGATTAAAAATATGTAATCCTCTAAAAATGGTTTAAAAACTCAGAAATATAATTTCGTATATGGGATGACAAGGCTATCGTCTATTATCGTCTATTATCGTCTGGTCAAATAAATGTTTAAAGTAGAAGAATCTTTTCTAACATATCAGATATTGTGATACAATTAAATTAAGAAATGGAAATAAGAGACTAGAAAGAAAATAGAAAATGAGAAAAAAATGGAGAACACAATATAATAGCCTCTGACTTCTATGAAAATAGTAATCAGATGTAATAGTAATCAGTAGTAAGCCTTGTAATACATTGTAGTTCTTTTAAAGATTGCAGACTTCACACAAACTTTTAGGAAAATATTAGTATTCCCCAAGCGGGCATACTTTATCTTCTACTCTGGAATTTAGTGGTGAATGAACTGCTATAAAAACTTGAGACTATTGTATATATGGATGATATTAATGGTTACCCGAAAATATGCTACCACTTAAAAGTGTATTCTGCAAAAAGACCTGAATATTCTTAGGAAATTGACGACAAATTGTGGCCTTGGGGTTAAGCCCTGCAAAACTTAAATCGCAGTCTTTATCAGGCGAAATAGGGTTCTCAATCTTTCTCCAACTTATATTCGAGGTTTTGCGACACAATTCACTGAGAAAGCAAAATTTTTAGGTATTGTTTTCGATACAAAATTAAGTTTGGGTTTAATATATTTTAGAGTGCGACAGCCAACATGACAGCCAACATGGCAATGCTCTTATGTAAGGAAGCTTTTGGCAAAAGGTGGGGATTACAACCACGTATTACTGAATGGTTTTACGCAACTGTCATTCGATCAATATCTTTGTATCGGATCGCCGTATGGTGAAACGTTCTTGACAAATCTTCATATTGAATTGAATTTAACAGGATTAACGTAGAGCTAAACTCTGCGTTAGTGGTGCTCTGTGTACCACAATATCTATTGCATTCTAGTGCTTCACTTAATCCTACTTAACATCATCAGTATAATCAGCATAATATTGGCAGAATGATTAACTCTGAGACTTAAAGCTACCTTCTGCTCAAAAAGTACTCGGATTTTGTAAATAAACACAAATTTAAATTTTATTCCAAATTCATTTTATCTCCTTCAAAATATGCTCCTTTTGAAGCGATACACATATGCCAACGCTTAACCCAATCTTCCATACACTTTTCGTAGGCCCGTGAAGGTATGACTTTTAGTTCCTTCAGCGAATTCTCTTTTACCGATTCAATCGACTCAAAACGCTTACCATGAAGGGGCAATACGACTTTCGGGAACAGGAAAAAGTCGCACGAATCCAGATCTGGCCATTATGGTGCCTGAGCGATGACAGTGGTGCAGTGTTTGGTCAAAAAATCGCGTGCAATTAGAATTTTCCATCGTAAAAATCGTTAAATGCACTTGAGCTAGTCTCAAAGTAACAGCAGCTGTAAACAAACTAATTGACAGATGGCGCTCAAATTTGTACCATATGCCAATGTGTTTATTACTTAAGGAGTAGTTAACAAAATCCGGATACTTTTTGAAGGCAGAAGGTACATCGATGAAGGGCTAGTGACCAGCGACACGGTTCCATTCTAAAATTTTTCAGTTCTACTCCAAATAAAATAGAGCACACCTCTGCCATTATTGATTTTGATAGGAAATTCATGGTTTTTCTAGTGAAGCAGATTTACTAATACTTAGAAAATATGTTTTTCAAACAATAACGATTCAAGAAGTATTGCCGAATTCCTTCATACAATTGACCAAATCCAATTTATAACTTCGTTTGCACTATATTAATTTACTTTAAACCGTTTAAAGTTTATCATATTTTGCAATCTCAGCTTTTTTGTCATATGCTCGCATATTGCAGAATTAGTTATAAGATATTTTCCTTCATCAAATAAAAATCTTGTGTTGTTTGTGTTCTTCTTGAGCATAAAAGCTTGTAACCTTATGCGAATAGGAACTTTGACTTTGTCCACAACAAAAAGGATACCCTGCAGCTGTGAACTTTGTCAAACAGCCAAGTAGTGTTTGCTCTATTATTACTAACAATAGAAACTAGTTCTCTATGTCAAAAACTAAACAGCTGCATTTGTGTTTATTTTAAAAGGTAAACTGTATGTTTTTCTCAAACCAAAAAACTACCAATTCTCTGTCAAAAGTATATTCTTTTAGTTATTTCAGTGTAGTTTCTGTTCTTTTTTTTTTTGAGTGGCAAGAAAATTGAAGCCTATTAAAACCGTAGAATGCTTTAGGTTCAAGGTTCCACCGGTTTCGGTTGACCGTTCTTAGCATCATGAAATCTAATATTGCAACATTAGCATGCGGCTTTATGCCCTCAAATTTGATTGCTGTTTGCAGGATGCTCTTGTAATCTGGCCTAAAGGACATTTATGAAATTTTGATTGTGTTTCACCTTTTGTGCGCCATTTTGGTTATTATTTTTGCAGCTATTTTGTTATAGTGAATTTGTGTATTAGCATACATTTTACCGAGGGAAATTAAATTGGTTTTTATTACTTTAGCGAGGGTCTTCGACTGTTTTTACAACTGGGTACAACCGTTAGGCATTTGAATTTTCTGGTTGCAAGTGGCAGTATTTACTGTCCCTTATGTACTTTAATAACAATTACTTTATGTTGATAAATTTAACTATATTGTTAGTTCGCGCATATAATGATATCAGATAATCAAAACGGAAATTAACTTTTTCATATATAAATATATATTTTTTAGCTGAAGTAGACGAATTTTGAATAATAAAATCATAAGTAAGATAACCATAAAGTATCTAAAGTACTTTAAATCGGCACTTATATTATCATTTATTATACAAGAATGCTTAATCTTGCACTTTCATGCTTTATATTTTCCAAAATGTAAATTATGTTTTCAATGCTTAACGTAAAAAAACACTTAACCCAAAATGTTTGGTGGAATTGGGTCAAAAAGCGTCAAACTCTTTTCGGTTTTGTTTTCCTATTACTTGTAAAAACTTTTATCTGCACTTATTTGAAGACAATTTGCAAAACGATAAAATTGTATAATTTTCTTTCAGCACTTACCCTGTCCATAAAACGAATTCCACATTGTCGCCCTGTCGTGACTTCATAGCTTTGGCAGCTGACTCAATTAGACTCCAAGGACTATCGCAGAGGTAATCGCCAAAACGACCTGGCGAGCGGTTGGATGAGCTTGGTGCCTGTCGGTCGATGCGCCAACAACCTAGTGACAACAAAGAAAGGAAATGAAAATCGAATACACAAAAAAAAATTATCTTCTTTGTATTTTTTGGCAAAAAATAAAAAAAATTCAAAAAAAATTGTAATGATATTTGCACTTGCTAAAATAAAAGAAAAAATATTAAGGCCCACAATATTCTTTTTGAAAAGGACATTTATGCTGACTTTGCCAAAATGCAAATTGAAAGAAGAAAACCAAAATAGCGTTAAAATTGAGTGTAAGCAAAGTAAACAATAATAACGAAAACAAATTCAGTTCAGTAAAACAAACATTACAAACATTACAAAAATTACAAGAATTACAAAAATAAGAAAATTAAAAAAAAACAAAACCCAGAAGGATAATGAAATATGAACATTGATAATGCAGGTGTGATTGATTTTGATTCAATTATGGCATTTTTGCATTAGCAGACTAAAAAATGTCATGTCCTTGTGGGATTTGTAATCATATCTATTGTTTTTCATCAGTGTTCTACCTTAGAACTTACAATCAAATCATTTTATCATCAAAAAATTCAAATTAGTTACAAAAAATAATCCTTTTCAGTTGTACTGTCCGGCAAAGAAAACTTGCCCGAATCTCGTTAAATTTAGATGAAATAAACAAGGTTTTATTTTACTATTTAATTAATTGCACTAATTATAGTCACATACTTAATTTTTTTTTATTTAACACAAAAAAGTAGACCTAGACCACTGTAAATGAATCATGTGTTTACTTTATGACTTATAAAATAGTTAATGTGCCTCTTATATATGCTGTATAAATAGAAATAAAAAGTATTTTATAGTCCACAAATAGTATAAAATGGATATACAGTCAACTCTTGGTATAGACAACGATATGTTATAATATATCCAATAATTTTAATAACGCCATTTTCCGGCATATCCAATCTAACCACGCTCTGCATAAACATAACCTACTCAACATCAAGACCAAGTTACTCTGCTACAAGCTCATTCGCCCTCTATTTACCTAAGCGTTTCAAATTTACTTCTACATTTAGAAGTTATGGTACATTTAGAAAAATATGCTCCAACCACATACTAGTTAAATTGACCTGATCATTTTGTTAGAAAAATTATAGTTCACGTGGTTAAGATCATATCTTTTTCAACCAACATGATGCGTCGAGTAAAAATATTTTGATCTGAGATTTAGTTAAAATCTGGTTCAATTACCCAAATTATATTTCAGATGAGCAATTATATTGCCTTGAACAATTTCTAAAAAGAGTCATCTGTATCTACTGCATTGTTAGTTTTGTCTCGCTTTTGAAAGTTGCCTTTTTGACTGACTAATGATATATATTTCATTATTACAATATATATACAAACAACATGTATTTCATTTTTACTAGGTATTAAAATTTTAATATAATTATAACTTAAAATTCATTAACAGATTTAAAATAAAATTTTGACAAAATTTTAATATTATTATTTTTATGGATTTTGATACATTTTAGGTTGTTATGGTAAGGTTGCTACTTTTATTTGAAAATGTGTAGCCTGGTAATGATGAAAACTGAAAATTTATCAGTTGTATTATATCTGCATCAGTTATTTTTGAATTTATACAGTTGAGTGTTCCGCGATGGCTAAGGCATTGAGTATAATAAATTATTTATCGTTGTATTGTGCATTATAGCGTGAGAGTTTTCGGTAATATATGCAACTTGGTCTCATGCGACTTTTCTATGTTCTCGAAGTTAAAACTTCGAAAGGAAGGCGTTTCGAGTCGATTGCGACTCAAAAATTAGCAAAAAATTACTGAAACAGTTAAGGATCACTACAAATATAACTTATACATATATTATATATATGGACTTTTTAGTTTAATGTTTGTATAGCGTTATGGTACTCGATGACCGATATGGAGTATTGAGTTTATTGCTTGCATAGTGATATGCTACTGGATGATTCTATTTTAAGAGCATATGATTGATAAATTTTGACTGGTGGTAATATTTTCTGTCTTTTATTAATTAGATCTGAATATTTCTTCCTACACAGATATTTTTTATATATAGTAATTGTAAAATTAATATCTAAAAATATTGGCAAATGTTTATTTTGAAAAGGGTTTTACCTTAACGGATTTTTTTTTTGAATTTTTATGTTAAAATCGTAATATATTGTTTCTCCTATTTGAAAAGTTTTATGTGAATTCAATAAAAATCTTAAATCATCGTAAAACATTTTTATTATTTTAATTTTTATTTCTTTATAGTCATCTAGATTAATACAGTCGATCTATCAAAGTTTGTTTGACTTTGTCCTCATAGCGAAATATTTTACAACTGTTCTTGTACATATATAAGGCGGTTGTATATAGTAGAATCTCTTTTTAAATTTAGTTTATAATAATAATAATAAATAATAAATATAGTCATGTTTTTTTTCATTTCTTGTTTATAATAACACTGAAGATGGTCTACGAAGTATACCAAAAAATCTGTTAAATATGTGTTTATATAAAAGTCCACAACTGTAATTTTTTTATTTAATCTTGAGTTTGTTTTTATATAATATAAGTTATTATATAAAAATTTAATAAATATTAATAAATATTAATAAGTATTAATAATTTAAATACTATACAATATAATATATTGTATAGTACAATCAAGTTTTTTGCAGTAATTTAGTAATTTGTGTTTTATGTTTATGATGGAAATAATGAATTAATGTATATAAATTATATATGCCAAATTATTTAACTAACAAAATAATATTAAAATATTGCAAAATTTGGGGTGCTTATTTTAATGATGGCTTCTGTACTTACTACGCAAAACATCGCCCTGTGTGCTGTAAATCGTATCCAAGTGTAGGTCTGTTATATGCCAAAAATATCCTGAAAATAAGCAAACAAAAAAATATTAATTAAAATTATGCAGTCAAGCATAATTGTAAGAATTTTGAAATAAAATTCAGAATTCCCTATTTTTTTGTGGTTTTCTCTGTTGAAGGTGACATTCATATTGTAGCAGAACAAAAACTACTACTTTTTTGTACTTGGAAAAGAGTTACAAAAACATGGATCGCATACAAATGCATTCGTATTCCCTCACATAAAATGTGTTCAAGAATCATTCAAAATCATTGTAAACTTTTGGGTATTGTAAGCCATGGAGGAGCAAAGCAAGCAAACCACATCAATTGCTGCTAAAAACTTAAACTGCGGTGGATTACTAGAAACTTCTCTGCAATGCATAAATACCAGCACACACGCGTTTAGTACTGTAATTTTCAGAAAACCAAATTCCAAAAAGGAACTACAAAAAAAAAAAATAATAAAATTGAAAAAATGAACTTTATAAAAACTTTCAAGTATGTGTCTTAGCAGGATTGCATAGCACAAATATAACACAGAAGTGCATAGAAGGAAGAATCAAACTCATGCGACTCTTCACTTTGTACGAATTGCAATTGTTGCTTGGCATTCGCAATTTTGCAATTATTTTCTTCACATTTCCTCACATCTTCAGCGTCAGCGTCAGCATCAGCTTCAGCATCAGCTTCAGCATCAGCATCAGTTCCAGTTTCAGTTTCGGTCTTGGTTTCAATTTCAATTTCAAATCCTGTTGCTGTTGTTGGATTCTCACTTGATGTCCTTGCTTTAGTTTCAGTTTCAGTGGTTTTATATTGTGCAAATGCTTTATAGCATTTAGCTTGGTAATCGTACTCTATACTGTCGCATGTATCTCATGTATCTATCTATCTTGCTTGTTTTGCCTTTGAGAAGATAAAAAAGTTTCATTTAATATCAACAAATTTTAGCAAATGACATCAAGCAACGTGAGCTGATGTGACTTTAATTGCAGTGTAGGTTATTTTTTTTCACATAATTTTCGTTCTTATTTTCATTTCATTCTATTTCTATGTTTTTTTTCAATTTACACTTATTTTGGGTTTTTCATTTCCTTGTTCTTTGCCAAGGATTTATCTGAGTCCACGTACGGCAAACATTGCAACTTGTTTGTTTGCCCGAAAGTATCTTTCTGTCGTAGAGTTGAGTTTGTCAACATGAAGCCATTGTGTAGGATTTCGAATGCATTCACAGCTGTTTGTGTGTACTTGCGTAATTGCACATTTGTAAGTTGTAAAATTTGTAAATGTCTCACCGAAAGTCTGTTTCATATTTCAAATGTCAGAGATATTTCAGTATGAAGCAGTAGATATTAAAAAGAATAAACTAAGCTAAACAATATATACATGCTTTAAGCTTTGCTTCCAAAAAAAAACTATTTATTATAGAACACTTAAGGTCATAATTTGCACTGGTATTTACAGAAAACTCAGGGTTGTGTTTTAGCCATTTTTATTTTCTCGGACAAGTCATTTGTACTAATAAAATGATTTAAGAAACTGTACTTACGAACCTATGCGAATTTTATTCATTGTTAATTAAATTTTTTTAAAAACAAGTGATGTTTTTAATGCGGCGATATTAAAAGTATACATAATTACGTGGAAGATGCTGTTATGCTTAAGATGCTCATTTAAAAACGCTGTTATAAAAAAAGAGCTTCAAAAGTAATATACACAGAAGGTTTCGTCAGTTTTATATTTAACCTAACCACCCAACTTATTCAACAACTCAAAAAATAATTAAATAATCTTGAACTGAGGTTACCATTTTGAACGTCAAATATGCACAGAGTATGTGAATTATCTATTCCTACTTGGAAGTCAGGGTCATGGACATCCACACTTCAGAAAAATGTAGAGTGTTTGTTAATAGAGGCTATGGAAAATAAAGCGCAAGATTCTTGCATCGCGGGCTTAAAAAAATCAATTAGAGAAGGACGTAAAACCACACGAAAATTATTCAGTCCTGTCTGATCGTTTGCAGGTCAATCCATTGGTTAAAAGTTATTATTAGGAGACATTTCTATCACAGTAGCTTTGACGTTAAATAAAACTGCTGTATTAAGTCTGAAAAAGTCTAATAGTGATCCTTCAATTAACTACATACCTCAAAATTAGGCTCTGTAATACAGTTTATCCCGAAGTTACATTTCTTAAAAGAAAAAGGAGACTACATTCACCGCAATATGGCACCGTAGATATAACTAATACTTTTTTGTTTGAAAATTGTATGAACAAAGTCTGGAAGCCTTTTAATTTAGACGGTGGTTACGAAATTAAATCTGTGTTTGCTAAAGGATATATTTGACGATCTAACAGAATCTTGAGAAATAGGATCCATGCTTGGGTACTAAAATTATGTGATTTGAAGTCACTGAAGCAGATTGTAAGTAACTATTTATGTCAGTCAAGACCTATAAGTTGTTCCCTCTTGTCGACTACATTAATTCAGACGTTGCGGAGATGCGTTTGTTTGCTCAGAGTTACTTAGTTTCTCTAGCAACTGCATTCTTCTACACTTTTTTTTTAGTAGTGATTGGTGTTTTGTCATTTTGTCTGCCACACAAACGGGTCTTGTTGAAGACAACTCCAGTTATGTAATACAATCCAGTGAGCTGGTTATTTTGGTATATTAAATGCCTTGTCTTTCAATATCAGTGTTGATGCTGCAACTACTTGATTTTCTACAAGTTCCAATATAGACTGATTAAAGAGTATCTCAAGTTTTACCCTAAAGCACCTGCAATGCAAAGAAAGCTATTCTTTAAATCTAGCTCAAATTCTTCAAACGGGTAGTTTTCGGTATAAATAACTGTTGTTATATAACAATCCAAATGTTAGGCCTGCATGTTGCAGTGAACAATCATTGCATTTTTTCGAGTTCAATCCCTACCTGATATTGATTGTATTTTTGTAGATGCTTAAAGCAGCAATAATCTTTTGTACTCTATCCCTAAGATTAAGTTTCCAGATGATTTTTATATTTTATTATTTTTTTTTATACTCCTTGATATTTAATTTACACGTACAAGTATGTAGATACATTATATAAACAGATACATTATCTGGTTAAACACAAGTATATAAAGTTATATATTCCTCTTTGCGGAATATAGGATAGCAACAAATTCCCTTAAGCTTTGTCGCTTTTGTGGTATTCTTTTTATTTTCTGTCAAGTGCCTCTGCTTTATATTAGTCCAATATATTTGTTGTTCTTTTTTAATAGGAAATTCTTATCTCTGTATATTGAAGGGGTTTGTTACTATATTTCTCGTTTTGTGTTCAACTTCTGGGGTGAATATTCACTAATCTGTTATTTCATATAGCTCGATAGATTTGTTCACTATATTGCAATAATTTGCAGACTCTACCTGATGCCTATTGTTTTTTTTGAAAAATATTTAAAGCAATGTTAGCCTTTCACACTATATCTTTAATATTAAGTTTTCGGATAAGTAATCTGTCATATAGACTTTAAACACATATTAAAATATGTGATCTTACTCTTCTTTATAGGAAGTTTCATACCTTTTTATATAATCTATATTACTTTCTCTAACTACAATTTAAAGTTTCGAGGTGAGTTGCGTATCTAATATAAATCCAAGATCTCTAACTCATTCCTCCAAAAGAGTTTCTGCGCTTTTGTATAGAAGATGAGTGTATGGGGAGTATGTAAGTCTCTTTTTTCTATCCATTTTGGGTGTCCACTTTGGTTAACCGAATATTCATGTGTGTTTGGATATTTAACTCTAACTGTTATCGTTAAATCGTTAGCATATGCGGTGGCATGGTATTCCAACCTCTCCAGTGTCAGCTCTATACTATGTACTGCTAAAGTTTAAACCATGAAGAAAAGCTTAACTATTTCACTTGACAAAAATTGTAATTAAAAATTTTCATTTAATTGATATTAAAGCAATTGAAGTGAAACCACATAGACAGCAAAATTTTAAGAGTTGGAAAATATGCAAAAACTGTCAAATAAGCACATCAGATATTTTAAATGTAACTACTCTAAGGACTCTATTGACATTAAGGATACGAGCATATAAGCCATGAGAGAGGGATTGTATATCTTATGTAGGTATGTCTATTTCAACCAGCGAGTGTGTGTACGGCGTCAGGGCTTTATGCATTTAAAATTGTGTGAGCAGAAAATGGTTTTGCATAAAACTGAAAAAATAAACTTTTTAACTTAAGATAACACTTTCATGCTCGTTTATTTTGTATTTTTATGCAGATTGTCTGCTAACCGTATTAAGCTTCATACAATTTTCATATTTTTGCACTAACTTAGCAAAACTTTACACAAAACTTTTCTCGTTAAAGTTAAGTTGTATCCACTTTTTTACTTGTAGTGTAAGTTGAGAATTTCGTATTTTGTATTTTAAAATGTAACTGCTTAATATATAAACATTCGAAGTTTTAAATTAAAAAGACGAATAATAAAGCAAAGCGGCAACTGATTAAATTTTATTAAGAATTGCACTCAACTGTGCAGCAACTACCGCTCCAAATGATTAATAAATTTCAGCTTAGAGTTTAAAGTAGGAATGATGTCATTAATAATGCAGCAGAGCAGATAAAATAGGATTTAATTCCAGTTAAGAACTTAAATTTTTCTTCATTCTCTAACTAAACAGAAAGTCTTCAGCAATGTGCAAAATCTGTTGTTATTACAGCAGGAATTTGTCTTCGGCAAATCCTGCTCGTTGGCAGAACACAATGCATTTTTAAGGTCAACTGTTGATGTTGCACAGGATTTAGAACAAAACCAGGCCAAATGCATATAAAAATGCTGTAAACGTATCCGTAATCTTTGTTGTAAGCAATAAAAGAGACAAAACATTACAACAAGAATCGCATTAAACGAGAGTGAAACGGCAATTTCTCCTATATTTTTGCTGAGGTTGCAGAATGTTTTGAGGTTATTTTACGCTTTTGGCGCATTTTTTATGGTTTGCATTCGCTCGTACCTCGTGTCCTGACAGTGTGCTTTCGAGGATATTTAGTATTTAACTCATATGTATGGAAGTGCGATACCGTCAAAACGTTTACGACAACATTCGACATTTGTGGTAGTGGAATTGTTGCGGGTGTATCATGACAATGGCTGCTGCTAAGCTCTAAGCCACAAGAATGGAACCACATCCATTTGGCCTTGACTTTTTTAATATTTTTAGCCTCCATTTTATGTTTTCATGCAGTGCGGCATGTGTGCACGCAGCCTGAAGGCATTTTTTGAACGAGCTCAACTAGAAAAAAAGTGATTGCAACTCAGCATAATTAAAAAAAAATCGCAAAAATTCAAATATCGCACAAAAGTACTGCATTAGTGAAAATAAGTGAAAATTTAAGAAATGAAAAACTGCTTTCTTTGTCAAAAATCATAAAACTGACTAGAGATTTTCTAATATTAACAAATAATTTTGTTTTATGACAAGAGAAAAATATGTTCTTGCCACTGTGGTATCGACAGAAACTTATTTCTTCATTTTCTTCTCTATTTCAACTTAAAATCTGCCATAAAAACAACCATAAATTGTTAAAATTAATTTTTTTGGTTCATTTAATAACAGGAAGGTTAGGTCATTAAAAAAGTTATTCTTTGCTGATGCACATACCTATGTAGGAGGGTAGGTAAAATAGAAGGAAAAACGAATTCGTTATTTCCTAAATTCTCAATCAGTTAAGAAATCCGTTTTAACTTTAAAAGCTTCGTAATTGTGAGTAGAAGAATGGACCAACCGATCGCATTGATAAATATAAATATGTTGTTAATACTAATTCTGGATATACCTCCGTATGTGTTACAAAAAATTCTGGAGACCCTTGTATATACACTAAACAGATGCTCTGTTGTCTTGAACGCTAGTAGGCATGCATTAGAGGAGATTTGACAGGTTAAGCAAAGCCTGACTCTATGTCGGCCTATAGTCCAGTGCCCAATTAGACCAGGTGTGTTACTGAGGGTTCTAGACAAGTCTGCACATGCGCACAGAAGGTGCCCTGATGTCATCTCTTCGAGCGCATGCATTACAAAAGAGTCGAAGGAACACTTCGAGCATGTCTCTTTGTCGGTCTAAAGTCCAAAGTCTTATAAGGATAGATGTTAAGCATACCTATATAAGCATATTACCTTCAGACTACAGGCTAGAAATTTACCCTAGCGAGAAAATAGTTTAATTTTTACCCAATCTAAATAAGAAAAAAAATTTCATCATATTAAACAGTCATGATCCATTAATAATGACTACACATATATGCACTCAAATCACAATTTATTGGTCCTCATATAAAACAGCTGTTAATTTCAGGGCAAATATGATACTCTGACAAAATATCTAGAGTGTTATAAATTAATCTTGAGTATTATAAATCAATCTCAAGTGCTATACAGTTTCACCAATCAAATATGAAAATTGCACTTAAAGCAAATCTCGATTAAAAAATTACGCTAGTTTTACCAATCCAAAACGCCATAAGGGTGCAAAAGAAAACGACGGATGAAGATAGGCTGCGAAAAACTCTAATAAAAAAAATTAAAATTTTATTTGACTCTTAGTGAAATCAAAATTCATAAATTTTCAAATAACAGTCAAATGTTAAGTTACAGTCAAAAGCTAGAAGATACTTTTAAGGCTGTTTATCTAAGCAATATTATGTCAGTAAGTGCAGAAGAGCTATTACTGCTAATTCCCAAGTATAATATGTATAATTCTTATACTAATTTATCTGAAGATGATTTTTATAATGAAGATCTTACTATTAATAAGTATTCAAAAGTAGCTGACTTGGATTATAAAAGTATTGACTGTTCATTACTTCATATTGTGTTACATATAGCTGAGCAGGAAGTCTGATAAGAACTTCTAATATTTGCAATAAGCAGTTAATTGTTTTTAATCAACCGTAAATCTGTGGCTTTATATGAGTCGAGCTTTTTGAAATGCAACATTTAAAGAAGTATCAATATCAAAGAGATATTGATTTTGATATAAAAACCGATAGGTTTGTTGAGGATATTGTTCAGTTTTGTTGGTGAATATAGTTAGTTTATAATATAGGTAAAGTGATGACGGAGTTATGTTGTATAGTTAAAATGTAATTAAAATTACTAGTACAATAAACTCTTCAAACATATTGCCGATGACGACACTTTTTAGCTTCAAGATAGGAATTTTCATTGGTAATAAATCTAGGTAAGTCTTATGTATTTGTTTTGTATGCACAAATAAACAAGTTTGGTATATTATAATAGCTCACTTACAGTTAGCACAGGCTTGTGACAATAAAAATTGAAATCTTTTAAATAGAAATATAACAAAAATGAACCTGATATTGGCTAACTGACTCTATTTATATAGCAGGAACTCAGCTCTTTCATAATCTACCAAGACTATAATAACCTACCGACGTTTTCCTAAGATCAGGCGGTGATAGCAGCTTCCAGTCTTTTAACCAAGGTTAATTAAGAACTGAATATAATTCATTTTAATATCTTTCTCTTAAAAATTCATTACTTATTTTCAAATTTATTTCAGTTGATTAATTTATTTATTTTAACAAATTTAGTCTTTGCATAGTTATAGCGCTCTGTAGCAAATTTAGCACCGTCTTAAAGCGCTTATTAAACAAACAGTTTTTCTTCTT